TTCACAACACATGTCATCTCAAGGCACCAGATCAACCAGTCAGATTGATTAAGTTTTCTATCTAGGAAAAACCAGCTGATTGCATCGACTCATTGACTCTCAGCAATCCCTCACACTAAGCATGCTTGTAGCGACAGTGGAGAGGAAAAACTCCCTTTGAACTGGAAGAAATCAGCAGAACCAGGCTCAGTGTGAGCGGCCATCTGCTGAGGCCGACTGGGGTTCAAGGAGACAGAAGCAGACATAGAAAAAGAAGCATAGATACAAAAAGTAAGTATAAAAGGCGGCCCCGTCCAGGAAACACACAGCCAGGCAGACAAGCTCCGACTCAGCTCCCATGTCAGAGGATGAAGAGAGCACATCCAGTTAGTCACAGTCAGAGAAACAGGACTACACTGAAAAACAGGCCAAGCTCCAACATCTAGAAACAAAGGTGTTGATGGCAGCAGCACAACTGATATTTCTCTCCAGGATGGAGTCACAGCCAAACAGGAACAGACCAGATGAAGCTACTATGAGAAAAAGCAGAGAGAGCAGAACGTTAGAGATTGAACTAACAGATTCTGCAGAGTGGGAGAATAGAGATAGAATGAAGCAGAATGATGAAAAAGGGGTCCCTATGTCCTCCAGCAGTCTAAGCCTATAGCAGCATAACTATAGAGATAGCTCAGGATAACCTGAGCCACTCTAACTAGAAGCTTTATCAAAAAGGAAAGTTTTAGGCCTAGCCTTAAAAGTAGACAGGGTGTCTGCCTCACGGACTAAAACTGGTAGTTGGTTCCACAGGAGAGGAGCCTGATAACTAAAAGATCTGCCTCCGTTTCTACTTTTAGAAATTCTAGGAACCACTAGTAAACCTGCAGATTGAGAGCGGAGTGCTCTGAACCAACCATTTGTTTCTGGTAACTTTTCCAGTTGGACTTGAATTTCACATTAAGGATGGGTTTTAGTTTCATGTCTGCATGGAAATTTTGAAGGTAGATTTGTTTCTTAATTACTCAGTAAAAGAAAAAAACTGCTTTTTTCTGTTTGTTTGCAACTTATTTTTGATTAAAATATAAAGACACTAATGTCCAATATACTATACGGTCTTCACCAAAAAAAACTTAACTTCAATTAAAGCTGCTTCAAACAAAAACATTTACTCCTATCAAAAAACATTTAGAAAGAAAAAATATATTTTTTACATTGTAATACTTTTTTTTCTTTGTTTGATAAGTTTTTCTAATTAAAGGATTGTTTTATTAATTAAACATCATCCAGGTGGCCTGGATAAAGAATTTGGGGGCCGTGTCTGGCCCGCCGGCCTTGACTTTGAATATGTGCTAGATGTTACCACATAAGCTGTAAGAAAGACTTTGAAAGGGAGGCAAATACTTTTTCACACCAGTGTAGAGAGGTTAATATATTTCATTGCTCTTCCCCCTGTCCTGATTAAGTCAATTTAAACAAGACTACTTTGATTTATCCAAATTAAAAGCAAACACTAAAATTTCCATAGCCAAGAGGTGGAAACCAGCATCAAAATACGAATGATAATGTCCTTTATGCATAAGTTAGGCTGTCGTAGGACATAAGTTCTGGACTTGTTATAAATACTCTATACGCCCAAAATTGGAAAAATACATAGAAAGTTCAGCATATGCCAGCGTCTAAGGAGATTCTGGGACGTCATAAATCGTCAAGGTATGACAGGGCCATACACTTAACGTATGTCAACGATCAGATAACTTACCTGTAACTTATTCCCCACGCACGGTATACACTGGCATACACAGGCATAGGTTGTACTTGCCGTATGTCGACATACTTCAGCATGTTTCAGCGTACTCATAAGTTATTCAAAACGTACCCATAACTTATCCAAAGTATGCCAGCATTTTTGCCAGATTTTTCTTACGTCAGGCATACGCTGGTCTAAATCGCCAAGGTGTGACAGGGGCTTAATAAAGCTTAGGCAATTTAATGTTTTTCAGCCAGACGCTGCCAATCTTCTATCAGTCTGCTCCGGAGAGTCTGATCTCTTCCTCTATCATCTGCTAGGGAAACAGCATCAGAGCAAATTACAGAAAGAAGCTCAACCAGCTGATAAAGAAGAACGGTGTTCTGTCAGATGAGCATATCCGTCAGACCAGCATACCCAGAGTCAATACCCATTTATTCCTTAAGTTTATCCCTTTAGTTTTGTATGAAAAAATTTACTTTAAACTACCTCATCTGTTGTCTATCCCTTTAGTCATGTACAAAAAAAAATATTTTATTACTTATTTTTTGGTGTTTTTTCTAAGCGTATGGCGATCTAACATTAAATTGTTATTTTGTACATGACTAAAGGGATACACACCCATTGAGGTATAGTTTAAAGTCTATTTGTTGTACAAAACTAAAGGGATAAACCCAAATCTGACATCTTGCACATGCGTATGGAGTATGGGTATGCAGGTCTGACGGGGTATGCTGATCTGACAGAACATTGGCTCTTTTCTAGAAACTAGGACCTAGAACCTCTTGAGATGATTTCACAGAGAAGGATTCTTTCTAAATTGAAAAAAAGTTTTGACAACAGAGAGCCTCCTCTTCATCAGACTGTTAAACACCAGCAGAGTGTCTTCAGTCAGAGGCTTAAGACAGACCTCTACAGAGAATCCTTCCTGCCTACAGCATCAACACCTACAACAACTGGACAAACAGAAAAACCTATGAGTTAACAGCCTCTAATATTCTTTTGGGATTTACAAAGGATTTCTGAGTTGAACTGAATAAAGATTGTGCAGAAATCAAGACATAAATCATTTTAATGAGCAGCCAGTTCACCTGAGCAGGTGTTTTCTCCTATTTCCATTTTTTGTAGTGACCACTTCCATTGAACCAGTACAAAGGAGTTTTAGAGCCAGGCTAAAGATTCTTTTTTTCTATTTCGAGAATAAAGTCATAACATTACGAGAATAAAGTCATAAAATTATGACAATAAAGTTGTAAAAAATTTGAGGATAAGTTGACTTTATTAACAACATTATGACAATAAAGTTGTAACATTACAAGGATAGTCGTAACATTACGAGAATGAAGTAATAACATTACGAGAATAAAGTGGTAACAATTTGAGAATAAAGTCGTAACACTACAAGAATAGTCGTAACATTATGAGAATAAAGTCGTAACATTACGAGAATAAAGTCGTAACATTACGAGAATAAAGTGGTAACATTATGAGAATAAAGTTGTAACATTAGGAGAATAAAGTGGTAACATTATGAGAATAAAGTGTTAACATTACGAGAATAAAGTTGTAACATTAGGAGAATAAAATCGTAACATTACGAGAATAAAGTCGTAACATTACGAGAATAAAATCGTAACATTACGAGAATAAAGTCATAACATTACGAGAATAAAGTGGTAACTTTATGAGAATAAAGTTGTAACATTACGAGAGTAAAGTTGTAACATTATGAGAATAAAGTTGTAACATTAGGAGAATAAAGTCGTAACATTACGAGAATAAAGTGTTAACATTATGAGAATAAAGTTGTAACATTAGGAGAATAAAGTCGTAACATTATGAGAATAAAGTGGTAACATTATGAGAATAAAGTGTTAACATTACGAGAATAAAGTTGTAACATTAGGAGAATAAAATCGTAACATTACGAGAATAAAGTCGTAACATTACGAGAATAAAATCGTAACATTACGAGAATAAAGTCATAACATTACGAGAATAAAGTGGTAACTTTATGAGAATAAAGTTGTAACATTACGAGAGTAAAGTTGTAACATTATGAGAATAAAGTTGTAACATTAGGAGAATAAAGTGTTAACATTATGAGAATAAAGTTGTAACATTAGGAGAATAAAGTCGTAACATTACGAGAATAAAGTCATAACATTACGAGAATAAAGTGTTAACTTTATGAGAATAAAGTCGTAACATTATGAGAATAAAGTGTTAACATTATGAGAATAAAGTTGTAACATTAGGAGAATAAAGTCGTAACATTACGAGAATAAAGTGTTAACATTATGAGAATAAAGTTGTAACATTAGGAGAATAAAGTCGTAACATTACGAGAATAAAGTCATAACATTACGAGAATAAAGTTGTAACATTAGGAGAATAAAGTCGTAACATTAGGAGAATAAAGTCATAACATTACGAGAATAAAGTGGTAACTTTATGAGAATAAAGTTGTTACATTACGAGAATAAAGGTGTAACATTACCTGAATAAAGTTGTAACATTACGAGAATAAAGTCGTTACATTAAGAGAATAAAGTTGTAATATTACGAGAATAAATTTGTAACATTACAAAAAGTCATCATACAACAACCCGTTTCAGAAAGAAAGCTTGGAGCTCGGCCCAGCAGATGACGGACGACCAGCTCCACCAATCAGCAACCTGAGTCCACTTTGACATCCCGCCTAGTTTGATGCTGCTGCTAAAAGATTTCCTTATTTGTCAAACCAATACCAAAGTATAAGTTCACATGATGCTCCACATTCCTCATTTTAGGGAAGACAGGACTTCTTGTAAGAGTTGTCATAAAATACAACTTGTTTCTCGTAATTTTAGGACTTTATTTTCTTAATATTACAACATATATTCTTGTAATCTTATGACTATTCTCGTTGTGACTTTTTTCTCGTAATAATACGAGTTTATTATCGTAATCTTACGACTTCATTCCCGTAAATTTACGACTTTATTCTCATAATTGTACAACTTTATGCTCGGAATTTTTAAGACGTTATTCTCGTAATTTTCTGACTTTTTTTCTCATATTTTTACTACTTTATTCTCATAATGTTAAGACTTTATTCTCAAAATAGAAGAAAATAAATCTCTTGCCTGGCCCTAATACTCCATAATAAACCAGAAATTGTTCACCCTAAATTTTCCTTTTTGAAACGATAAAAATTATTACTTTGATTGAAACTGTTTTTACATCGTGTCTTTGCGATTTAGTGGAAAATGGTTTTAGTGTTTCCAAATGTTGGCATTGCATTGTGGGAGTTGTATGATTGACACCGGCGCCATTTTGCTCCTGCTTGCTCTGCCTCCATTGTGTGAGAGACAGATAGTAAATATCGGACATAGCCGCAGAACCACAACACACCGAAACGCTGCGAAGCTAAAGTTGAAAACTCGGCGCGGGTAAGTGAACATTTTCACTCATTTTTAAACATCAGGATGTCCTTCATCATTCTGCGTTTGGATAAGGGAGGCTGGGGATATTTCAGGAAGTTTAAATAATGTCTGATTTCGACGCTGAGGTGAGGGGAAAGCAGCTGCCTCGATGCCCAGACTGGGAGGAAAACCGCTCCGCGGCTCCACAGCGCAGCTAGCTGCTCTACTTTCAGCGCCTTCTGTCTGACTTCCCTCTCGTATATGGCGTCTCTCTGCTCGCCTCTAGCGGCGGTCAGATCCCTTAATGTGTCTCCCGTGGTTTGTCGGTAGTTTTATGTATCCATGTTTTGTTTTTATCTGGAAAACCGTCCATGTTTCCGTATTGTTGTTCGGCTCTATATCAGTAGGCTGCTTGGCTTCCGTCTGCGGCCATAATGTTGCGCTAAGAGGGCGGGGCTAAGAGGAGCTGTATGAAAGGCTATTGGTCGACAAATCCAGCACCAGCTACCCGGATTGGTGGATTTTTTATATTTTTTACTTCTCTCAGATTCTGATTGGGTTAAGAGTTTTTGATTGGTTTATTTATTTAGCGAGGGAAGAAAAACATTTGATGTGGTTTAACCACTGATCTCTATTTATTCCCTGGATTGCTGATTGCTCGTTGGTAGTACGGGGTTAAAGGGAAGCCACCGGCCGCCATATTGGTACTCCCTAGTTTCACCGGTCGTATTGTAAACAATCCGTGCGCTACAGCATCGAACAACGATGAGGTTCTCATTTTTAGGGGGACTTGAGCTTTTTAAAATAAAGATAAATTCATCACATATCATTATTGGAATATTTAACTTATAATAAAAAATAGGCCCATCACATTGCAGAGTCATTATGAAGTCAATGAAGTCTATAAATCATGTAATATAACATATTATAAAAATCCATCACAATAAAGTTAATGTGTTAATGGAGCATAGTAAAACAGAGGAGCCAAAAGTGATTATGATAATTGATTATGTACGATGGTAAATCTTACATGTCTGATTATATATATATATATATATATATATATATATATATATATATATATATATATATATATATATATATATATATATATATGTATATGTGTGTGGGGTCAAATGTTTGAGTTGCTTTTTTTTCTCGTCAATATAACATGCAATGTATTTCAGCTCATAACTCTGACAAATGAGAAATAGAGCAAACTCTACAACAGCGACAGCATCATCCACTTAATACAGAATTACTACATTGACATTTCTATTTCCTCTATTTTCTAACATTAGACCCAATGCCAGTGGCTCACTCAGTCAATGTCTTCCAGTCAGTCTGAGATAGCCAGACTAATGTTACGCTACAGACTACACTATAGGATCCATCGGCTATAGATGGATTTATTGGTTAGTTCATCCACTGATTGGGAAATTACCTGTGGAACGTCTTCCTGCAGCCAGAAAACTGCTGGTTTTAGCAGCTAAATGCTACACATTTTTACTGATTTTTACATTTTTACTGCGTGTCTCTGTGGGAGTGGGGAGGGCTAACATGGCGGATGCTGGCTTCACTTTTTTCAGGTAGTCAACAATCCAGTGAATAGAGATCAGTGGGTTTATCCCTGAGCTGTAGCTAGGCGGTCCAATATATAATTATAGGTTCAAATGGTGACTCCTCCTTGGTTTAGATCAAATGGTGTTAAACAATGTAGGGGAAACAATTTTGGAAATTATTTTTACTGTTCTATTGCCAGAAAACTCCCACTAAGGTACAGCTTGGTCAAAATGCAGCAAAAACGATCTAGAAAGAAGTGAGAAATTCTTAAAATAAGTGTATTTAGCCTTCATTTTAGTAGGTAAATCAGAATATTTGCAAATGGAATGAGTGTTTTTATGCTTCAAATAAGAAAATTAGATATTCACTTGAAATAAGACAATGCAATTACTTTTTCTTATTTTAAATGTAAATTGTCTTGTTCCATTGGCAAAGTTTCTCACTGAACTCTTCAATTCAAGATATTAATGCACTTATTTTAAATAAAAAATTACTTATTGAGATTTCATTGTTTTACGGTGTGGAAAGAAGTGATATCACAAAAAAAATAAAGTAAAGACTTTTCAGATGTCCTCCAGGGAGGTCCTCAAGACTATTTATAATAAAGTTCAGATTGTATACACTTCATCAACTAATTTAGTCAAACTCATTCCAAAAAAAAAACAAGTCCAGTGGATTGTTTTTTAAGGATTTAAGATTAAAAAAAATTTTTTTCTCCATCAGTATTCTCTATCCAGAACTTCTCAAGTGGAAAAGTTTTAGTTTCAACCAGTTTAATTTCGTGAAAAATCTTCTTTAAGGAACTTTTGGCTCCGATTATTAATCATTAATTGCAGCCGTGGTTCAGATGAGACATCAAGCTTTGTTCCAAAGGTATGGAGGTTTTAAATTCTGCTGACTGGACATTAACCTTTTATGCTGGGACAGATCTATTCACTCTGCGAATAGTTCTGCATAATAATTATTGTTGTTATTTTTGCTTTCAGGTGATAATTTGTCCTGATGGCTCGTACCAAGCAGACGGCTCGTAAGTCCACTGGAGGAAAAGCTCCTCGTAAGCAGCTGGCCACCAAGGCTGCCCGCAAGAGCGCGCCCTCCACCGGTGGAGTCAAGAAGCCGCATCGCTACAGGTGAGCCTCAATGACGGGCAGCTAGCCGTCACTCGGCTGCTTGCTCTGTGTCAGCCGCTCCACCGATAAGACATAGGGAAGCTCTCTGATATTCCAGAAATTAGGATTGTTACAGGCTTTGATCGCCCAGGTCGTCTCTCTCTCTAAAAGCTTTTAGCATCTCAAACACCACAGCTAGCTTACTTTGCTAACAGGATTGGAAGTTTCTGCCGGATGGTGTTTTTTTCCCAGGATTTTTCCATGGTTTGTTCTGGTGTAGCTAGCGGATCTGCCTGGGTCCTTCTTCATGCCAGTGACGCTACATGATTGCCAAACATTGCCACATGATGAAAACATTGTGGTTGCCCAGACAACGATAATAACGTCCCGCAGTTTTACCAGAAGTTTTACCTGATCGATAAAAAAAACTGAAAAAAAATCAGTTTCTGGTGAACAAAGTAGCTGTGCTCACTAGCTAACAGGTTAGCCTCTTTTAGCTCGCTCAGTTAGCCATATTAAGCTACACTACATTTAAATTTGTGTTCATTTTCTACACGTAGAATAACTGTTTATTTGTTTAAAAGCTCTATGAAAGTCATTTTTAAGATGTTCCATTTGTCCTCCTCTGCCCTCAGATCTTTATAAAAAGAATAAAACTAAGCTGAGACTTTTTTGTCCCCTCAGTCAGTCTTAGAAGGCAGGATTTTCCTTCCAGACTGACAATGATTGTTTTCTACTTTCAGCTACTTTAGATCGCCAATGAAATGTAAAATACTAGTAAATAGAGGTAATAATATGTTGAGACTCAAAAAGAGATTTGATCCTGAAAAAACGGGTTCAATACAGTTTGTCTGAGTGGAGTTGCCATATGATGACGTCATAAGAAAGGGCGGGGCTCCAAGCAGATCTGGTACCTAAACTGGCCGGAAGAAACGGTTTCTTCCAGTAACTTCCAGAAGAAATTGAAAAAAGAAAACTTTCTTCCTCTTGTGAAACTCAACCCTGATTGCTAAATGTATTCAGTAGAAAACAAAGCTCTAAACCTCGTCTCAGATGTTTCTGTCTACGTTTCCCACTCCAGAATGTTCCTTAGAACAGCTGTTATTCCTCTTCCTGGTTCTACTGGAGTCCACTGGGTTGCTTTGCTCCCAGTTTGATGCTGTCCAGTAGAAACCAGTTTGCTTTCAGGCAGTTTATGGTCTCCTCAGTAACAGCTTCCACTGCAAAAACAACCTTAAAATGAGTCAAACATTCTTAAAATGAGTGTATTTACCCTTAATTTGGGGGCTTAAATAAGATGATCTGCCAATAATTAGCTTTCACATTCAAATAAGATATTTAGATATGATGCTGTAGTATGACACTGCAGGTCTTTTTTTTCTTATGTCAAATGTAAATTATCCTGTTCCTTTGGCAAAGTGTCTCACTTATCTGCTCAATTCAAGAAAAAATGCACCTATTGTAATAAAAAATGGACTTATTTAATGTAATTTTCTTAAATCGAACTGTTTGGTTTTTGGTGAGACCAAAAAAAGATCCGATTTCTTTGAGGAGCAGAAAGTGGTCTGGTTCCAGCTGAACTCTTATTTCAGCAGTTCAGGAACTTTCTGCAGAACTGGTTAGCGCGTCTTCAGCTCTGCCCTAAGCTTTAGTTAACGATCTGAGAGTTAAACGCTATGATGATCAGATAGAAACAGATGTTTCTAGGGGAGCTTGGTGTAATAAAACGTCTGCAGCCGTCGCTCCGTCGGCTTGTCTCTTCCTAACGAGTCTTGCTGTGTGTTTCAGGCCCGGTACCGTGGCTCTCAGGGAGATCCGTCGGTACCAGAAATCCACTGAGCTGCTGATCCGTAAGCTGCCCTTCCAGCGCCTGGTGAGGGAGATCGCTCAGGACTTCAAGACCGACCTGCGTTTCCAGAGCGCCGCCATCGGAGCGCTGCAGGTGAATAAACCTTTAGATCAACGCAGACCCTCAGCTGCTGACTCAGACCCCTGACCCAAACCCACTCCTTTGTTCTGCAGGAGGCCAGCGAGGCCTACCTGGTGGGGCTGTTCGAGGACACCAACCTGTGCGCCATCCACGCCAAGCGCGTCACCATCATGCCCAAAGACATCCAGCTGGCACGCCGCATCCGCGGAGAGCGAGCTTAGACGCCTCCTGATGCTTCTTGTCCTGTTTTTGCCCCCCCCACCCCCCAGTAGACATTAGGCTGATAATGAGCAGATAGAACCATGTTGAGTCGGTCTCTCCTAGAGGTTTTTTCGTCTTTGTAGGCTACCTTTTCTTTGCATGTTTTGTGGATCCAATACACATGTGCGCATATCTGATGTGTGTCACTGGATTTAACTGTGCTTCCTAACGTGGAGCCCCCCCTCCTCCCCCTCACTGAACTCACCTGTTTGGTCTCAGTCTGCAGCAAACAGAGTTGAATCCAGGGGGGCTGGGCTGAGGGGCTAGTCTGCTTAAGGGGAGCTGCAACTTCCACAGCAGGGTGCTATTAAAACTAGTCCCGAGGCCTCTGACCCCCCCAAACCCCTGGGAGCGGGTGGACTGCTGCTCTGTTTCTGTGATCCTCCAAACCAACTGTACTCCACCATCAACCATCTCTGGGTTTGCTTAAAATGATGCAATCATGGATTTTTTTTATTTTTATTTTGTCTTTTACTCAGAGTTTGTCTCATTTTACCACTTTCTAAATAATCAAAAGAGAAAAATCAGTTCAGATCTGCAGGGCTTCATGTCAAAAACTGCAGGATTTCTAAAGCAGCTTCTGAGTTTTTCCTCATAAAATCTTTACTCCTATTTTGACCACACGGGGGCGCCAGATCTCCACCACCCTCCCCGTTCAGTGGGTCAGGGTGATGCTGCTGCTGCTGCAGGTGGTTTCTCCATCCATCAGCTTTCAGATGGATTCAGTGAAAGTTTTTTTTTTTTTTTGCATGTTTTGGGTTTTCGTCTCTCCTGATGTCTCTGAACAAACAAACTGTCCCTTTCCTCAAAATTCTGATGCAGAAAATAACCTCATAATTGTTTTGTTTTATATTTTTCTTATTCCTTGAGATTTTCTGACGTATAAATAAGCTGATCTTTGTATTTTCCAAATTTCTCATATTACGGTGGTAATAAATAGATGTTAAAAGGAGCCTCACTGAGTTTTTCTTCTCTACGTCTCTTCCATCATAGACCGTAGGTAAATGGTTGTTTGTTTTTTTCTCCAGGGTTTTATTATTTTTTCCACTGTCACAGGTACAGAGTAACAAAATGAACTCTCTGCATTTAACCCGACCCCTTGGGGAGCAGTGGGCTGCCACTGTGCGGCGCCCGGGGAGCCGTGTGGGGTTGGGGCTTTAACTCAGAACCTCTGGAACCCAAGCACAATGCCCTAACCACTGGGCCACCCCTCCCCCACTCACTGCGGTATAGGGCTCAGTGATAAATCCATCCTAGATGGGATGTTTTACATGATTTTCTGGGGGGTTTTTTTCGTTGTTTTTTTTCTGTCAACCTGGAAGGAGAAAAAAAATGCTTAATCAAATTTGTTATAAAAAGATCAGAATTAGTCCCCTTTGTCTCCAACGTGCTTCCAGCCCATCATGGTTGCTGCGATATCGTCTGGCTGTATGGTCTTTACAGCACCTTAAAACATGCTGATAAAAAGTGAAAACATTCACTCTGATTTTGTGGAACTGAGAGCAACTGGTCACAGTGTAGAAAAAATGCGTCTGGAGCCTCCAGCAGAACCAGGTCCTCCATCCGGTATCTACACACACCTTTCCTTCCTGGGTCATGATGGCTGGAGTCTGTCTCAGGAGGTTAATGGACCAGTTGCTCTGATGCGGCGTCGGAGACATGTCAACCAGCAGAGGCGCAACTTGTCTGTTTGTGGACTGAAAGCAGGAGTACCTGGTGTGACACTGCACTTAGAGGGGGAAACTGGTTATCCCCATGCCGTCCCGCTTCAGCAGAGCCACTGATGGGGCCACCAGTTCACCGCTGGCAGAGGACGTTTGGATGACTTGAACCTTGGTCGACCCGTTCAGCGGGTTTTTACCATTTTTATTGTCATTCCACTCTCACAAGTGCGGAGCAATGAAATTTCCTCTTAAGGGTCTTTGCTCAGAGAGCCAGAGTGGCAGTTTGTGGGAGTGGGGTTCGAACTCACAACCTCAGGATTCCAAGCCCTATTTAGACATGGCATTAGTGTGAATGATCTTGCCTAAAGACACACTGGCAGCTAATTTCCCCCCAGCTGGGATACGAACCCAGGCTTCCTGTTTGCAGGAGACCCAGGCCATGTTTGTGGACTGGCGGCCCAGAGGTCAGGGCATAGAACTTGGAATCCTGAGGTTGTGTTTAGTGTTGCGCCAACGCCATTTTTTGGCCCCAATACCCGATACCTGACTGTTCAGTATCGGTCGATACCATCTGTTTGAAATTGATGTGTGTGTTTATCTATGAAGAACTGCATCCTACTTTGATGTAAAATAATTGCCATCATGGCTTTGTCAAGCTGCTGCCTTCCTTATTGAAGCAGGAAAAAGACTAAAACTCGCCGGTACCAATACCACCATTTTAGTGCTAGATTGGGGCCCCGTCCAATACTGCTATCGGTTTCGGTGTAACACTAGTTACACCCAGACTGCCACTGTGGGTCTGTGAGTAAGACCTTAACCCCACACCGCCCCCCAGGCGCAGTGGGATCTTACAGTACCTGTTCTCTCTGACAAACAGCACAGGCTAAGACATCCAAGCTGCCAACAGGACATGATGGCTGATGATGGTTTAACCCGTGGGCAGGGACCACTCCTCTGTTGTAGGGGACCAACACTGCAGAGGACTGAATGAGGTGATCCCAGTGCTGTGGTTCAGTGGGTCTGTATTTCTGACCTTCTCCTAATAGACTCTGATATTTGCTCCTCTTAAGCTCCAACCTGCACTCACTATTTGCTGTGATCTGTTTTGCTTTTGCAGAACAGTCGGAACTTACTGGAAACCTGCTGAAAATAAATTGAACATAATAAGTTGAACCCAGTCACCCCCTCCATACTTTGCCTCTGATTGGACAGGAATCACCATATTCACCACTCAGCAGGTGTTCGTCTGATTGGAGGTCTTCTAGCATCATGATGGCTGCCAGTGTGTGATGTTGTCCTTCTGTAAAAAACAGTGCAAACAGGAGATGTCTAACCTTCTACCAAAAAAATCTTTTTTATTATTGTAAAGATGAAACCTTCCCTCCAAGCTATCTATGCAATATTCACTTTTTTCAATTCAGTTTATTTCTATAGCGCCAATTCACATCATGTCATCTCAGGTCACTTTCCAGTTCACCAGATCATCCAGTCAGATTGATTCAAAGTTTTCTATCTAAGGAAAACCAGCTGATTGCATCGACTCATTGACTCTTCAGCAATCCCTCACACTAAGCATGCTTGTAGCGACAGTGGAGAGGAAAAACTCCCTTTGAACAGGAAGAAACCTCCAGCAGAACCAGGCTCAGTGTGAGCGGCCATCTGCTGAGGCTGACTGGGGTTCAAGGAGACAGAAGCAGACATAGAAAAAGAAGCATAGATACAAAAGGTAAATTCAGCACAATCTATTCACAAGTGTTTTGACATTGGCTTGTTCTCTGGCTTATTTAACTAAAGAGCTCTTGTTTACCCTCTGATGGAACAATATCTTAACAACACAGAAAAATATCACATATTTTAAAAACACCATTTCTACACATTAAAAATGTGGGACTGTTCACGTCCATTCAGGGAGGGGCGGGACATCCAGAAGAACCTGAATTGATTGTTCAAACCTGGAGCTGATTGTTCAAAGTGACACCAAGTGCCTGCCTACCAAAGTTTGGTTTTAGCCAAAAACAGGAACAAACATATCTGGACAGGCCAGAATCAGGAGTATTCCAGAAGCACCGGCCTGGGATTGGCCTTCAGCGATCCGGCCAATCCCAGGCCCGGTGAGTGTGACGTGTGTCTGGGGCCAGCTGCTGCTGCTGTGATGTGTGTAGCTAGTGAGCGGTGCAAATGAGGATAAGAAGCAATGGACTCAGTCTATGAATGTGGTGAAAGGAAGAAGAAAGGCGGCGCAGAGGGGGGAGAGACAAAAAAGGAAGGTGCTGGAGGAGGAGGACACGGCCAAATGCAGAACAGTAACAGATTTATTCAGACCCCCCACCCAGGGTACCATTAAAAAAAGTAGAAGAACACTGTTAGCACATGTTTGCTATACAAAGGTAGTGATGGTGATGACATCACTCCTGCTGGTGCTTCAGGAGAAGTAGAGCATTTGGGAGAAGAATGCAGAGAATCATTGCTACAGTAGAGCAACAACATGCACCAAGTGACATGAACACTAGAGACTGACATTTTTTCGGGAATCCCACGGGTCACGGGATTCCCGTGGGATGGGAGTCAGTATTAGTAACGATCACTTGATTGGGACGGTACAGGATTAAATATTAACGGGAGCAGACGGGAGCGGGAGCAAACCAATAGTAACTAAAAAAAACTAGGATCGATGCCAAAAAATAAAATAAAATAGAAAGAAAAAAAATCCAGTACTGGCACCGCGCCGCCATTTTGTAGTTTTTTTTCCTTGAAGCCTACACTATAATGCGAGTCAAAAAAACTACACGACCCAAAATCCAACAGTTCTTCCGCTCTGAGTTTTTCTACCGCGCTCAAAAAACAAAACAAAACAAGAATGGGAGTGGGAGTAATTTCACCAGGAGTGGGACGGGACAGGATTTAGATTTCTACTCTGGCCCGGGATCGGGACGGGACACAATTTTTTTCTGTGGGAGTGGGACGGGACAGGAGTGAAAATCCACTTCCGTGTCAGTCTCTAGTGAACACCACCAAACACTAACATTAGAGACAATAATACTGTAGAACATAAATTTTGTTCAGTACAGCTCTCAAGACATTTCTATTTCTTAAAGTGCAGCAGTGATCAAATGTAAAAATGGTGATCAAACGTAAACATTAAACTGAGATATGATTTACAGTTTTTCAGAAGACGTTGGCGGTCGTTGTTGTGGCCCGACTTTGATGGCTCAAAAAAGTGAAAATCCACAAAGGCCACAGATGCACCATGGACTTATTTCATGAAGGCAAAAGAAAAAATGTTCCAGGTAAACTCCTTTATTTTGTCTGTTTGTTTTTTCCTCAGGCAAGCAAACAAAAAGTC